CCAAATTGGAACGCGCCGCTATGGATCCAAAATATTACCGGCATTGGGATTTTATTTGCCCCTGCTTCCCGCACTGGCACGTAAACGTTTAAATACAAACAATCTTCGGCGCCAATAACCTCCGGAGTTATTGGCACGTGATTATATTGAATACAATTAGAACCAAATTTTGTAGCCGATAATTCACCAGTCCATGCCGGTATTGGCCGAGGAGGCTGCGTAGAAAAAATGAGAAAAATTAAAAATTAAAATTTAGAAAAATTTTGATTCTACATTACAGAAATTTATTAATAAAATATATCTTTGATCTAAAGCATTGAAAAAACTACTGGTATCTATTGTTGAAATTTACTTTCGTTTTATTACGTTAGAAGTGTCATTTCAAGAAATGTAGCTTTCAAGGACATTTACATTAATAATTAATTCGATTGTGTACCTTAAATCGTAATTTCCCAATAGGTGGCAATGCGTAAGGAATCCCTTCGTAAGCCTCATACTTTCTATTATTTTGTGAGAACTTGAAATAGCCTTTCAGTCCTCCCAAAGGTGTTTTGACTCTTGGAGCAGTTCCATCTATATTTGCGTGAACGACAAAGCTGAAGCAAAGCAAGGCAAGTAGTTTCGGCAGCATGATTGTTACTCTTTGATCAGACTACTGTAAAACTGACAATTTTTCGAGGTTAATTGTTTATCATATCATCGAACATACTTTATGTACGCACTCAGTACATACTCAGATAAACTTCTTTACAAAAGAATGTTTATTTCAAGTCTGATAACTCTCGTAAAAAAGAACTACTATAGTGCAGTGATAACACTACTGAAATGTAGTAGTAGTACTGCTGTTATAGCAGATCTTTTTTACTAAAGAATAATCTGATAACGTGTAATAATGTGCGTGTTATCTTACAGCGATTTCGGCTAGTGTGCACAGTGTAGAACTGATGGAAGTGGGTACGTATAATCGTAATCAACGGCTTAATGCAAATTCGTCAGCTGACAAAAACTGAAGAAGAATTACGATGGGGCCATTAATTCCGATTAATCTTATTTTGGCGATATTTTAAACCATAAAATAGGCCTTATGCAAAGTACAATATTTGTAAGATTGATTACATTGGGTAAACATCTTGGACATTTAGAGCAACACCTAAGACTGAAACACCCAGGAATAATAAAGGAAATGCAAAAAGAAATTAAACGCAACGGGTTATATTTCGATGTACGACGTGATCGGGCAAGATGCATTGATAGAGTATAGTTGCATTATCAATATATTTCGCGAAATAGGTTTTTTAAAAAATTATTTACGGAATTTACATAACATAAATGTATTTTATAAATATATAGGTTTCCAACTTTTCATTCAAAGGAAGATTTAATAAAAAAAATTTTTTGGCTTTGTGAAAAGAAAGAGGAGGGCATAATCTTCCGCACACATATGTATTATGCAATTGTGGAAGGTTTTTTTTCCCCCTTTTTCTTTTTTACCCCTGCATCCCTCGCGCGTGCGTGCCTATAACGTCCTGCAGTTTGTGGGAGTGGAGGGACAACCGATAACGCTGCCATATACTGAACTACGAAATTTAAATCATGAAGAATAAACGAAGTATTAGAATAATATAATCGGCAAAGCTCCAGTGAAAAAATCTGCAGTTAATATGAAATAAAAAAACTGAAATAAGGATTTTTAGAATAAGAAGAAAATCAATTAATAATCCTATCTAGAAAAAGATATGTTAAGTCGAGAACTCGCATTTCTTGAAATGATTTGTTGCCGCTTTTCCGTGATGCTGATTGGTTATCTCACTATGCTTACTTTGTTGAGTGGCTGTCATTACATATTTTGACAGTTATTATGTGTATTGAGATTTGTTTTAGTAATATTGGAGTTAATAGT